GTTGATTGCCTCCAGACATGGGTTGTGGGAGCCCTGGGATGACACCTCCTGGAGCGAGGGTGGGGGAAGCCAATGTAGTAATAACAAGCCTTAGTTAGTCCAGACAGGGATTGGATTTTTGGAGTGGCTTAGAAATAAGATTGTGTATTTGTTTCCCTAGCAATGAGCCTCTTCCAGTCATCCCCTTCGCTCCACCTGGGCCACCTTGGGAGATACCCTGGTCGGGGCCCAAAGGGCAGGCAGGACTCAGGCAGATGGTAAGGACTGTGGAAAGTGTGTCCCTATAAGCTCCAAAGGGGACCGTATAGAACCTTTGGAAAGAGTCTGGATATCTGATGATTGTGTTCCCCCACCCTTGAGGTAGCTGCATCAAGGTTTCAGTGCGTAATTCCTGTGCACATTGTGCTGGTTACAGGGACGACTTTGATTCGAAGAAGCGGAAACAGAAAGGTGGCGAACCGTGGGGAGTGAAAAAGCCACGCCATGATCCGCCACAGTACCGGGTCTACTTTGCACGCTATGCTGTGGACAGGTGAGAGCCCGGAGCACTAATAGGGACACCCGGCCAGCTGGGATTCCACTGTTTGAGGGGCTGCGACTGGCTCTGTGTGTCTGCTGCTAGCCCTAGTTTCTCTCTGCCTGGCTCCAGCCCCTTCTGCGACGCCATGGAAATCCTGAGACGCTACTGCAGCATCCAGTTGCCCAGGGAGTTCTATGAAGTCCGCCTGTGCTGGCTGGACACATTCCCGCTCACCCAGCCACTGACCCTGAGGCACCCCAGCCGCATCCTGGTGGCTGACCCTGCGGAGGAGGTGCCCGAGACAGAGGAGGATGCCACCCAGGATGTTGTGCTGGAGGACACAGATCCTGCATTCAGTGCCAAGGTGAGGGAGTCAGGGCAATGGGGTCCCATGTGTCCAGGTTTATAGGGGTATCTGTGCCAGTCTGACCATGTTGCTGTCCCCACAGGTGATGCTGCTGTCTTCCCCAGGCCTAGAGGAGTTGTATCGCCATTGCTTGTTATATATTGAAGAGCCCAGCGAGCAGAAGGAGAGTGCAGAGCACCCCACAAAGCAAATAAAGGTGAGGCTGCTGTTAATCTGTAGGGAGGAGCAGGAATTCCCTCCTTTACAGAGGATTATTGGGCTTCACAACTTCTCCTTCCCTAGTTCCTGCTGGGGAGGAAAGAGGATGAAGCTGTGCTGATTGGAGGGGAGTGGTCGCCTTCTCTGGATGGCCCGGAGCCGGACGCTGATCCCATGGTTCTGGTTCGCACAGCCATTCGCTGCACCAAGGCCCAGACTGGCCTGGACCTGAGCGCGTGCACTAAGTGGTGAGTGTTACCCTCCCCCATAAGAATAGGTATATTAATTGTCTTGAGAGATGAGAAGACCAAAATATAGCATCATCCACCAGGGTGGATTTGATTTAATCATGGTTTTCTACATAAAAGTGCATTGTTATTTCATATACCAAAGGTAATTGATGCAGATAGATAGTTCACCTCCCAATGACTTCATAAATGTCTCCAGTTCAACAGGTTAATCATTCTCTTGCCATGCTGTATTAGGAGGAGAACATCACCAGACAGACATGTTGTTTCAGTTCACTAAAACAACATGAATAGGATTGGGTCCCTAATTAATCCCTATTCCATGAGGAGAGATCTTTGAGCTATAAAAATGGCCTGCTCAGATCCATGTAGATCTGGGCTGGGACTTTGGGTGCATTGGTTTGGCTGATTACATTATGGCTATATATAGAATTTCTGCAGTGGGTAACCGTGGCAACTGATTTTTATTTTGCTTAAACCTGGTCTCACATGTGACTTGGTTGGTTAGTAACAGCTAAGGGAAGATGGAGGCCCTCTGTCTTTAGCATTGGTGGGGTGGACCAAACAGCAAGTGCAAGAGACTTGGTTTGGGTGGGAGTCATGGTCTGTTGCTGTCTTCAGAGTGATCTAGCAGTGACAGGTTTTATTCCCTGACCCTCTCTCCCCCCCCCATATGCTCCAGGTTCCGTTTTGCTGAGTTTAGATATCTGCGTCAGGGAGACCCGTCACAGAGGGAGACAGTGGTGATCTTCCTGCCAGATGTCTGGAGCTGCATGCCGCCTCTGGAGGAGTGGGAGGCCCTGTGCCAGCAGAAAGCAGAGAAGGCCCCTCTGCCACCCCCCTCACCGGAGGAGAAAGCAGAGATGGTGAGACTGGGCTGTCATAAAGCCAAGAGCAAAAGGTCTTATCACTCACTTTAGTAAAGATCTCTCTGTAATGCTTTTAAATAGGACGTGGAGATCCCAGATGCAGCCCCTGCCCAGGAAATGGAGGCCAGTGCACAGGACGTGGATGCCACCAATGCTGTTGCTGAGCCAGCTCCAACTCCCCCCCTGGAACCTGCCATCATCGCTCACCCCAAACCAGCAATGCAGGGTGGGCAGCCGAGCTGCTCCAACATCTCGCTCTGCACCCTGCTGGAGTACAGGAGACGGAGGGAAAAGCTTTCATTTGAGGTAGGCTCTAAGGGAGCTGCCCTGCATGATGGCACCTAGAGTTGCTTGGAGCGCTGCACTTAAAATTCTCTCTGCCCCTCTTTCCCTCTCCCCAAGGTGGCGGTGGTGGCAGAGCTTTTCCAGGAGATGCTGCAGCGAGATTTTGGCTACAAGCTTTACAAGGCGCTGCTGGCTCTGCCAGCGAAGGAAGAGCCATCAGAGGCAAAGAACCTGGAGTCAGAGAAGCCAGCTGAGCATGAGAGAGTGCAGAAGGAAGAGGCCCAGGAGGAGGCAACCAGTGAGCAGGAGCCTGTGCAGGTGTGTCCCCGCTACACTCCTTTCCCCAGGGTCTCAGCTGAGACTACAGAGCACTTCTGACTTTCTCCTGCCTGTTCACAGACCCATCAGGAGGAGGTAGGGGCAGAGCAGAAGCCAGCATGCAGTGAGGGTCCCAAGGTGGCCAAAGAGGATGAGAAGGCCAGCAAAGTGGAGCCTAAAGACTCAACTGATGAGCTGTGCATGCTGAGCCTAGAGGATGACCTCCTGCTGCTGCGAGATGATGAGGAGGAGGACTTTGGTAGGTCTGGTGCACGGCGTGGGTGGCACGTGCATCTAGGTGGGCTGTGCAGACAACTTGCCTTGTTTGTGTCCCCTGCAGGTGTCAAGTTAGATGATGCGGAGGTGAGATCCATTGCTTCCAACCAGTCAGAGATGGAGTTCTCATCGCTCCAGGACCTGGTCAGTAAGCCACCGCAACCCAGACTGACTAGTCTTAAGGAGGGTGGGGGAAATAGGGCTGCCCTGAACCAATGGTTTGTTCCTTAGCAGCCCAAGGAGCTGGACCCAAGTGCTGTGCTGCCCCTGGATGCTCTCCTGGCCTTTATCTACTTCGATTTGAATTTCTGTGGCTACCTGCACAGAAGAGACCTGGAGAAGATCCTCATGACACTGGGGTTACATCTTTGCAAAGAGCAGGTGAGCACCAGCTTGTGGCTGACCCTCGGGGGGCACTCCATTGTGCAAGTTACTGTGCTAATGAGTGGTGTGTGCTGATTTGTTGACAGGTGAAGCAGCTTGTGAACAGAGTAGTGACTCAGTACGTGTGCCAGTACCGGAGCCTGCACTACAACCGCCAGGACAGTGCTGACCACGTCCCCGAGGAAGGGCTCTTGGGTAAGTAGTTAGTTATTGGACACGTGGGCCATAGCAACAGGTGCCCAGAGGCTAAAGTCACCACTAGGTTGGTTGCTCTTGTTTCAGGAAACCTCTCTTTGCTGCCTGTCTCAAACTCTGTGGCTGAGGTTTCTACTCAGCCCAAGGCAGTGGTGGAGCAGGGGGACCTGATCTCCCACAATGGGACTGTCCTCAATGTGGGGAAGCTGCTGGAGAAGGCAGAGCAGACTGAGAGTAGCCGCCTGTACCTGGAGAGCAAAATCCACACTCTGGAGGTCAAGCTGGGTGAGCCAGTGCACTGCTGGGGTGGTGACAGAGTATATGCGGGCCCACCAGGGAGTCATAGTGGGGGCTGAATGTGTTCTCTGCCCACAGAGGAAGCCCAGACCCGTTACTCAGCGACAGAGTCATCAAACAAGGTGCTGACCACTGAGCTGCAGGCTGTACAGAAGCAGCTGGCTGATATGGAGGAGCAGGTGAAATCAGCAGAGAGGCAGAAATCCCACTTCCAAAGGCTGCTGCAGGAGAACAAAAAGCGCCTTGTTCCACTGCAGCTGGAGATCCAGAAGATCATTGAGAAGGTATCATTCTATGCTGTCTCCTCTTGCATTTGATGGGGGGGGTGGGCGCGCCTTTCTGAAGAGAATGGGCAGGGCCTGCCGGCTTATGCCTGCTGTCCTTCTCTCTTCCAGACTAATAACTGCTTAGAGAAGAAGGAGGAGGAACCATCATCTAGCAACTGACGCCTGTGGATCCCTGAAGCTGTAGTGTGCCAGGAGAGAGCAGAGTCTGTGCCCTGTCATGAGCATAGACTAAATGGCAAGGTCAGTGAGGGGCATAGATGCTGAGGAACTAAGAACCCTTTCACTGCCTGAGGGAGACTTGAGCTGGATTCCCATTATGGGGGAACAGGACAGTGTTTTCACAGCCTAGTGTGTGCCAGTGACAGCCAAAGTTGTCAAAAAAAGGCCTTTGCTAATTGTCTGGTAAGTGATGGCTGTGAGCGCTACTGCCCATGCCTCCCCTTTACAATAAACACATAAGGGTCTTAAGATGAAGGTCTGCCATCTGCACTTTGTGGTGCTTTAGACAACAAAACAAATGTGGTAACAACTTGTATTTAATGGGAAAAGTTTAAAAAAAATCTCTTCTTCACTTGTCTGTGGCTATTTTTGTCTCTTGTTTTCCCACTGAGATGACTTTGTATAATTTTTTTTTAATTCTTAATAAATAGTTGTGTGCTACAGGAAAACCATGTGTACATTGTTGTTTGCAGTTAAAACAGGGCATCTTTAGGCCCATTGCATGAGGTAGCAAGAGTAGTCTGATAATGGTTTCTCTTGTGCAGCTATTACTCTTTCCCCACCACACATCAAAAGTTGTACCTTGTCTTATAAGGAGTTCAAAGCTGGAGAGCAGCAGGCAGCTGTGCACAGGTTAAAACCTAGAGTCAGTCAGGAGATTTCCACCCTGTTCTTGTCATCAGGCAGCAGCAGCCCTTAAGAAGGCTCCCCCAGCATGGGTGGGGAGGTCAGTCGTCAGCCACAATGGACAGGGCCCGCAGCTCGCTCAGCTTGGCTTCGTTCTCTTTCTCCCTCTGCTCATCTGTGAGGCCTGGCTCATCAATCTGCTCTGTCAGGTCTCTGAAGATCTTGTGCATTTCAGTGTAGTACACAACCTGGGGAGAGAAGTGAGAAGTTAACTATGTTCCACCCCACTTACAAATAACAGGGTCCAAAGAATCTCCCTTATGCTTTACTGTCCTGTTCCAGGTGGTCTCAGCCTAGCCACAGGGGGGGTGTCTCCAGTCAGACTGATCTCACCAGCTGAAGTCAGATACACACGCCATCACCATGGAGACAGACTCTCCCCCAGCACGCCGAAGAGCCTGTTTGTTTTGGCAGGAAGGAGGGTGGCTGCTGCTGGGGACGCAAAATTCTATTAATATCTTTGATGTGGTGCGGCTGGGGAAGGGGGCTGGTCCCCTGCCCTGCCTCTGGAGTGGTGGGAGGCTGAGAATCCTCACTCCAGCATGCCCTATGAGCCTTTATGATGTAAACCATATAGTCCATTGAGTCAACTACAAAGATTACATGAGGAAAGCGCTGCAGGTTTTCCTACCCCCCCCCCCCCCCCCCCAAGGTGAGATCTCCTCCTCAAGATTCTGCTATGCACACAAATCCACGAGGGGGCTCCACACTCCAACTAGAGGATCCAAGTGATGCCCCATTAATGAAGACTACGGTATAGCCCTCCTCAAACACTCTTTATCTAAAACAATGTCCCCATTATGCACACGGCGAACTCTTTTCCTCCACCAGTGTGTGTCTCTAGCAGGTGGTTCTGAGGAGACAGAACCATCAGCTCATGGTACATAGGCCACCAGCTAAAATACAGGCATGCGCACATTCACTAGAGGGCGCTCTGATCCTTTTATGAAAATTGTCATTGAAAAATAGCAATGTTGGCAACTTGCATGCAGGCCTAGTTAATGCAATGGGAATGGGAATTCTGCAGCGAGAAAGGAAAGCAGCCTTGGCAGACTAGCATTTAAAGGGACCACACAACAAACAGGACCTGGCAGAGTGAGAGAGGGAACTATGGTCCTGATCCTACAGAGCCCTGGCGCCAAAGTATCTAGCACCCATCGCTAATGTCTCACTGCTTTCAGTCAGGCTATATTTATGTAGGTCCTACACAAAACAAGATTTTTTTTGGCGCCTTCTGCTGGCTGAGGCACTATTCAGTGCTAGAATGTCACCGGGGGGGGGCGTGTCGCATTGTCCAGAGACGCTGATGGGAACCCAAATGCCTGGCACCCAGGCCCTGGTGGGGCTAGTTAGGTCCAAACCATAAAGCTACTTTTCTGGAGCTCTTTTAGGGTGGGCCAGAGGGCACAGATCTTTCCCTTCTCTCTGGGTTTGACTCAGGAGAGGGGAGGAATCCTCTGTGAGTAAGAGCAGTGCTCCCTATTCAGAGCTCTGCAGCCACAGGTCCCTATTGTAAATTACCCTGCAGGGTGTGTCCCGTCAGCAGCTCAGCTGGGGTCTAGTTTCATTCAGAAAACGGTGGCGTCTGCCCCTGTGTCAGCTGTGCCCTCCCCGGTCTCTAGAACGATCGCTACTATTCCATAGATACCCGTAGATAAGAACTAAAATAGACATTCCACTGAGTAACTCGAAACCCTGCAAAGATAAATAAACTCAATGAGGCACGGAAGGAGAGATAACCCGAAAAGAACGCCAGCAGGATGAATGGGCCGGCTGAACAGCCCATTACCATTCACGTGCCTTTGAGCACGAGCCCATGCCCATTTGGCACGGAAACAGGGTCAGGAAAAGGGACGCTCTCGCCAGCCCATGGCTCCCGTTGGAGGAAAACAGTTCAGTGGTCACAGCTGTGAGTCAGGACTCCTGGCTCCTATTCCTGGCTCAGCACTGACTCATTAAGTTACCTTGGGCAAGTCAGATTACCGATCTGCAAAATGGGGAAACACTGCTCACCTCCTGCATGTGTCTGAAGTGCTTTGAGAGGTGGGTGCTATGGAAGGGCCAAGTAACCCTACCAAGCGTGGCCACGAATGACTCAGTCAGAACTGCTACTAACCCTCCACCCCCGCCCCAGCCAAGGGAGTGACTGTCGGTGAGAACCCAGGGACAGTCCCAGATTTCTTTACAACTCCCTCTGCCCCTTTGTCTGTTATTCCTTCATCGTGGGGCAGGGAGGAAGGGAATAAATCACCCCTCCAAGCAACCTCAGGGGAAAGGGACAAGAGAAAAAAGCGTGTGAGCACTAGACAACTGAGGAATCTTTGCACAGACCCATGTATTAATGGCTTCTGGAGAAGGGAAAGATCTGCTAGGTCCTGCAGTCCCAGCCAAAGCAAGCTTGGGAACATGCAACTGCATGCTCCTCAGTGCCTGCCCAGCCAGCACTGTCACTAGATTGCCAACACCGATGCGCAGCAGGAACCAACAGCTTAGTCTTGACTTTCAACCTGGGCCATCCCGGAGCCCCTCTACCATGGACTTACGCTCAGGGGGATGTGGAGCAGGACTGACACCTCACTCCCCTCCAAATGTGAATGGAAAAGCCCTCTTTCCTCCTCCCCACCCAGCTCCCAAGAAGCATCGAACCCAGCAGAGGTGGACCAGAGTTGGCTCTAGCTTCGTGGGCAAGAGCAATTGGCAAACAAAAAATTCTCAAGGAAAGGGTTCTAGCAGAGGGTCTTGCAAGCAAGCCCATGTCAGAGTCACAGACAGACACACGCAGCAAAGGGACAGGCCGTGGCTCCTGTGGGGCAGGGCACACAAGTGCCAGCACAGGAGCAACCTGGCTTTGTGTTGGGCACCTCGAAAGAAGTTTCCAAATTGTTTCATGCCGGGATCACATGTTCTTGAGGTGGGGGAGGGAAAGGGAAGGCACAGGTACCGTTTGGTTTCATATAGCTGTATAAGGACTTTCATCCCTCAGCGCGCATCATGGAGCACAGGCACCCAACACCACGCAAATGCAGTCACCTTAAGAGCAGAGGGCAGCAGCCAACTGGCACACAGCACAACAGGAGTAAGGAGAGGTGATTCTGAACTGGTTTTATTTACACCTTCTTCCAGTCCCCTTAATGGTCTCTTCTGGCCTTAAAATCGATGGCAGAGAGAAGACTGGCAGCAAACGCAACCAACAGGAGAGAGTGGGAAGGTGTACCTTACGGCAGGCCTTCCCCGCATTTAACTCACACCTTCCTCCAGATCTGTGTAAGTTACACCAATTTCGCTTTCCCAAAGCACTGGTAAGTGGGTGTAGCTAGGTCTAGGGGAGTGTGAACACGGCAGTCTAAGTTACACCACCTTACTCATCACCCCGACTGATGCCTGGTGTGCGTTCATCCTGCCAATCAGCCACGCTTGTCTCTCCTATCTGGAGTCACACCTTGTGAACTTGTACGCCTGCTCAGAAAGGAAAGAGGTTTGCTCTGCCCCATCAGGCTGGCCAGCTCCATGGGGAAAAGCTTCTGCACAGAGGAAACCTAGGATGCTTCTCACCTTTCTCATTCCCTCTCTCCACAAGAGGAGGACCCCGCAAGTTTGGGCAAAGGTTTACAGCCCTTCCTCATAAGGAAGGTGGGGGGGAAAGGACCTTGTCCAGAGGGGCTCACATGAACAAGTCCCTGAATCAAACTGCATCATATTCTTTTGGACACTGATCACACGAATCCCCTGGGGAAGGGGTAGGATTTGAGTTGACATTCCAGCCCCCAAAAACTAATCTACATTACAGCCTGCCCTGCACCGTGTCCCTACACAGGCACCAAAACTGAGATTCCCATTCTCTATCACTTGTGCCAACGGAGAGATTGGGCAGCGGAAAACACAAAACCCTTGAGGATTATGATAGATGTGTAAAAAGCCACCAGCTACTCGGGGTTTTTCTGGGGGATTTTCTCAGCGCACTTCAGCCAGGACCTGCAGCACCTCATAATATTCCAGTTGTGACACCTCTCCTAGTTATGCTGATGCCCATCAGTCATGACCTGTAGCATCCATCAGCTATGTAGAAAACAAGGACTGGAGACTAGGCAGTGACTTAATACCTTATCCTTTACGATCACCGCTCAGGACCCCAAATGCAGAGGGCCAGGGTATTCAGATCAACGGACCACCCAGCCTCACAATCTCACCTGTTTTTTTGGGGGGGGGGGAGGGGGGCGCTCTGCTCATTAACTCGAATGGGACTGGAGGATGGGGCCCTAAATAAACATCATGAATGTTTTGCTCAGGACCTTCTGCTGAAGCAAAGCACCAGATCCGGGCAACACTTTCTGTGACTTCCTTTCCCCACGTTCATACATCCCAGCATTTTAAGGGATTATTGCAAACCCCAGGAGAGATGTAGCACACAGACAGAGAAGTCGATGGGATCAATATCTATTCAACTAGATGGTGCGTTAGTCTCAGGGACTCATATGCTGGTGAGATCAACCATTCACCTAAATAGCATCTGAAAGAGTCTGTGCTCCAGAGCAGGCGCACAAGCTCATGGACATTGACATGAGGGCAGCCAGGGCAGGGGGAGGTTTCACTATGGGTCTCACCTGAGCACGGATCAATGATTCAAAGCTGGGCTCGAAGTAGTCGATGCGGCTGCTGTAGAACTTGGGCATCTCCTCCAAAAGCTGCTTGTTTTTGGCTTCAAAGTCCTCCTTCACTGGCCTCAGCTCCTCACGGGCCTGGGGAATGAGAGAGGGGGTTGCTCAGCTGCCTTAAAAATCCCCCTTTCCAAAACAAACCGATGTATGAACTTCCAGGAAGCTGGCTTAGGACAGTGGTTTTTCACACTAGGGCCCAAGAACATCTAGCGATTTCGATAAGGGAACATTCTGAGGACCAACCTGTGGGTTTGGGGGATGATGACTGAATCTCTCCCGTAAAGGTCACTGAAAGGCAGTAAGGACTTTAGCACCTCAGTGGCAAACTCCTTGTATCTGCCACATGCACAACTCGACTCAGTGAGTGGGCACCAAACATTAAGAGCTTTCCTTAGCCAGTCTCCTCTATGTGGTACTATAAATATGCATCAAAGTTGCTTTTCTATGAGCAGCAAGGTACAGATGACCTGCTGGGAGGCATAATAAAATCGTTCCTTCTCCTGCCTCTCAAAGAGAAATGAAGACTATACACCGGGGCCCTCAAAAAAGCCTGTGGTCTGAAACCAAACAGAGCTCTACAGAGCAAACCCGGAATGTGACACGAGATCCTCTAACTAGCAGCTCTAGGACAATGTTAGCAAGCACCATAGTTTATCTGTCGACTGCAGCCCTGTGGTCAGGTGGTGTCTCACTAGGACATTGGCAGATTTCTCTCTCGCTGGGATAACTGAAAAGTTCTGAAGGACCCTACAGCCCACGCCATACTAGGGGCCCATGCCGGTGCTATGACCCCATATTCAGAGAGGGGGCGTGACTTGGCCAGCAAAGCAACTTTGCTATGCTGCTGGAAATAAAGGTGAGTAGGGGAGACTCCAAGCTGAGCTAAGGCTTGGCTCTCAGACCTGCTAGCGCCGCTGGGCTGATGCCGAGACTCTGATGGTTTTCTGTCTGCCTTCAGGGTTTGCTCCCCTAACCTTATGCCCTCGGAGAATTTGCTGGGTCAACCCCAGGGGAGTCTCTTCTGTCTTTGCACTTTGCCTGTGACCTTCAGTTTGGAGAGTCCTATTGGCGATCTTTAAACAGAAGCGTGGGGAGAAAGGGAAATGTCTTTCAGAAGGTGTGGAAAAGGGCAGGAGGGGGTGGGTGCTGAAACATTAGACAAGTTCAAGTCTGCCACTTAATCCTGGTGCAATTCCAAAGGGAGGGGGTGTGGGCTAGCAGTGAGATTCCACATGCTGGCCCTGCTCTGGCGGTGTCTAATCCTATGGACAGATTGGTGTTAAGACAGGTTCCGGGCCTTTGTTGGGAAAGCACGCTAGAGATATGGAGCAGACATAACTTCCGGCTAGTAAGGTCTTAAAATGACACCAGGCTCGAAAGGGGCAAATGCATTGTCTGACACCAATCCAGCTACTCAAACTGAGGCTGAGAGTGTTCCAACTCACGGGAAAGGAGGGTTAATTCAGGAAGCTTCCTGCATCCAAAAATTGAGGGCTTGGGTAAACAGCTCTAAAAGGCCCAAAGTATATTTTAGGCCAGATGGAAATACCTTATGAGACTACGCTAACTCCCTACCAAATATCTGGATCTCTCTTGAATAGCCTGGCTTTAGGTCCTCTCCAAGAGCAGCTCTGGCTATCCCAGGTGTCCAAGCTCAGACTTTTGATTATTTATTTCAGATTTTCATGGGGGAAAAAATTAGATCATACCAGAAGTTCATTAGGAAAAAAATAAAACCGACTTAATCACCAGGACAAAAGAACTCCCATTTTTCCAGCCATAGCTTTAGTCACTGAGGCTGAGCAGTATAAGCTGCTTACTATGAAGTCTGAATTCTCTTTTGTTAATGCTGATAGGGCTGTTCTTTAACACAATACTTAATTTGGTGGGGAAAGTGATCAAAACGGTGTGTTCTTTCACTCTGATGAAGGCGACTATTCCTTAGAGGTTTCAAGCGAATGTTTTGTAGAAATGACAGATTTTGCTGGGAATGCCGGTGAAGATTTAGTAAAAACAAAACCCAAAACCCAACAACTTTGCTCGAATTTCAGAAAGACGTAAGAATTTGGTGAGGTTTCATGTTAACCAGTTATTGCAATTTTGTGAGACTAAGCTTTGTATCAGGTGGTAAATGTGTAGAATTTTATGATTTTTTTTATAGCTGTTTAGTCAAATTCTGAAGTTCAGGGGAATGCTGTCTCCTAATGTGCTCTTACAGTTATCTCCAGTTCTTGTGGGCTTTAGTTTGGAAAGGACGTTCTGTTTGGTCTCAGACTGAGTGCTCTTAATTTACCAAGCGTTGCGCATGTCAATTTAATATTAAAAAAATAATGGCACATTGCCCCGAAACCCTGAATAAATTAGCCTACACTTTAGGGAATTTAGATACAGAACTTAGGAAAGACAAAAGATCATTCAGTCCATTTCCTTGCTGAGGCAGGGTTGTACCCAAGTGTACATTTACAAGGGATTTCCCCTGTCTAGTTTTAAATGTCCCAAGCAATGGTGTTCCGATCATTTCCCTTGTCAGTCTATTCCATAGCTTAATAGATCTTCGATGCCTAGATTTTCTCTGTCTTAATTTCATCACACTATTCCCAGTTACTGTGCTAAATAACTTGGCGCTTACACTTTTCAACAATACTTGGCATGTCAGGATGAAACATGCGTAAGGGAAATTGTAGTGTGTCACCCTGCACACAGGGGGTGCCCTAACATTCTCTCCAGAGCTTTTCAACCCCAGCAGTAAGCACCCGTCTCCCAGCTCTGTACCTGGTGTAGCTTGGCAAGGATGGGGCCGGTCTTCTCCTTCTCTTCATATTTTTCCACCTTGGACTGCAGCCGCTTGTAGTCTTGCAGAGTCTGCTCACGTCTCTTCACTGCCATGTTCAGGCTGGGGAACACGCTGCTGAATCTGCAGGGGTTCAAAGAATAAAACCCCGTGGATGCTGTGGCCTGGCTGGACTCATCTTAGAGACATATCTGCTTGGCCAAACTCCCAGCTAAAAGCCTGTTAATTCAAGGTGCTCAGGCAGAATTCTCTATGACACTAGGAGTGGGCGTTAGCACCTGTCCTTAGATTACTGGTAGGGCAGAGGCAGGGGCGGGGTGAGTGCCCTTATGGCCCGATCCAACCCCCAATTACTTTAATAGGAATCGGATCAGGTCCATAATCTGCACGAGTCTTTCCACACAAGACACGAGGTTACACTACAGACCATATTGATCCTCTTGGAGCTTCCAGCAGATGCATCGTGGGTCCTATGGCTTTAGTGTCTAAAATGTATTTCAAGTTAACGGCCTGCAAACATCTATAAGATGCCAACATTAAGTAGGGAGAGGAATTCTATGGGGAGTTGCAAGGGGTCTGACTAGAAGGAAGGGAACGGTATTGGACAACTGGAAATGTAGGCTGAACATCAGTAAACATTTCTTAACAGTGAAAGCTACAAGATCTGGCATAGCCTCCCAAGGAATGGGGTGGAAGCTCCAGAGCTCAGGATATTTAAAATTAGACAGGGAAAAATGTCAGTATGGAACATTTTTGCACTGGCCGCTGGGCTGGGTACGAACGAATGTCTATGACGCTATGAAAGAGACAGGGGAAGGAGAAAGATAAGAACTGCTGGCCCAGCAATGAGCAGAATGGTTCAGCAACACGTAGCTGTCCCTTCTCTCGTCGACTGGAAACTGGGCTCTCCTTAGCTAAGTGACTGCTATTAACACAGCCCAAGAAGGGAGATCCCTAATACTAAGGGAGACAGAGACAGCCCACAGCATTTCCCTGAGGGAAGAGAAAAGCATGAACAAAGGCCTGGGGCCACAAGGGAGCAAGTCCTGAGGGATCCCAGTGGCCCTGGCACTGCCTTGCAGTTTCTTCACTGCTTTGAAAGATTATATGAGCCACATGTTGCTCTTAAACCAGGACATGGGATCATTAGCCAGTCTTCCTGGGACACAAGCACTAGTTCATGACCGAGGAGGAGGAGGGTTGCCAAGACAAAAAGAGGAACAGGAAAGAAACCACAGGGAATTCAGAAATTTTCTCTCCCCTGACTTGTGCTGGCTAGCACCCAGGCCACAATCCTGTGAGGTGCTGAGAATCTCCAATGATTCCACAGGAGTGAAACATCTTGCAGGATTAGGCTGCAATTGATGAAACAAAAAGAAACCCTGATCCCCTCTTTTGTGCATGTGGAAGAGCTCCATTTTGCTACTTCCTAATGTGAACAATAATTTGCTTACACCTATCCTACTTCCTGCACAGAGCATGGAAAAACAATGGGGGTTTGTCTAGGTGCTCAATACTCACCAAAACATTGGTTATGAAAAAGATATTCCCGGCAGCTTTTGTGGCATTTCCCACTAGAGTGAGTGTGATGCAATCCACACTCCCAACACCCCCTCATCTCTCTGTCCCCTGAGTCCTTTTGCTAACATGAACCCTGCACTGTGTGGATTTAAAGACACACCACTCCTTTTACTGGGCTGATCTTAACTCTTTAATTACAAATGGACTGCCCTGCTTTCCCTTTCCGAAAGGGACACGGTCAACTTAGTTTAGATCCAGAATTTAGAATCTGTTAATCAAAACAAGGAGTGAAACAAAACCTAGTCCAAATAGAAATGTGTGAGACTGAACTAACTAATGTTTGTAAAATGCCTGGAGTCCCAGCTGATGGACGGTGCTATTAAAAGGGAAAGTTAGTATTACGATCATTATTTTGTTAATATAAATTAGGCAGTGGCCTGCAACAACAAGGGAGTGGATCCAAGAAGGCCCTTTCCAGTCTTATGTTCCCATGTCAAAGTGTTTTTTTTAATTAATTTATTTATTTTATTTAAACATACATCAACTACTTAAAATCTAGTCAATTTCACACACCTCCTTAGAAGTAGTTAAGAGGCCCCACATTTGTCTCCCAGCCCTCCTTCGGAGACTGGTGATTTTACAGTCATATTTTCCTATTTTTTAAAATGTTTTTTCTCTCCTGCTACTGCTGTGTTACAGAGCCACACAACAACGTGGGAAGCTGGCTGTCTACACAAGGGGGGAATAAAGAAACTGACCCTACACAAAGTGCTGTTAAACACATAAAGCACACAAACTGACAGAGGAGAGAAAAATACTGTTCCCCCACTCATCTTATTAATTTCTAATCACCCAAGGTGGTATTTGCAACAACACCAGCTTCAAACAACAACGTTCAGACAGAGGGTGAAAGTTTTAAGTGGATGGTGGCTCTTTAAATATTGTCCTGCCTAGTTGTGAACCCAATGACAACAAACTTGTGCTAGTGTCTAAGAATTAAAAAGGGACGGTGACTTGCTGTGAAATTAATCGGGTCTAGTTTCACTGTCCTGACCAAGTGAGTTGCAAAACATAAGGAAATAGCAGTGACAGGAAGTAAATGAGACTGTGAACATTTTTCAGGATTAATAATCTACAGTATTAATATAAGGCAAGGGAATTTTTAACTCTGAATTTCCCTTATCAGTGTCTCTTTAACACTGAGTTTCAGCTAACACTGTGCACCATCTCTCTTATCATTACCACATTTGTTCTGCAAAAATTTAGTACCTGGTTTACCTCTCACATATAATAGATCGAATTCTAAGCATTTTGTGAACCTGACTCCTCTATAGTCCATCTAAAATGCTACTGCCACAACCATCTCTAGCCCATGGCTTCACCATGACACGTCCTCTGTATGAGGCACTTGGCTGGATCAACATTGTACTGAAGAGCAAATTCACACATCTTGCCCTTAAGGTTTTAGCTCAGACAGCCCCTGCCTACGACTTGAACTTTATCTCCTTTCATATTCCCTCCCAACCTCCCTGATTTTACCAGTGATGCCAATCTCGGGATCCTCCTCCGACAGCTGATTCCTCACCTTCTTCCATGCTGCTCCTTACATTTGGCACCCCCTCCCTGAGTCTGTTGACCAAGCCATGTCACTTGCACGATTTAAATCCCTCCTGAAGGCTCACTTCTGCTACCTCACTTAGGCAAAGTAAGGGGAAATAAAACGAATTATTGGCAACGCCAGGCTGTGCCTATGCCTTATTGAGTTGCTTCATCTTCTGATCACTGTCACCTTTCTCCTTCCTCACCTCCTTCCCCTTATAGCCCTGACTCTATCCAAAACCATAGGTGTAATTTGACTTCTATATTTGGGGGGGCAGCTCCAGTCAGGCCAATGTGGCTGCGCATAGGAGGGGCGGGGGGAGGGAAGAGAAATTTCGTGGCTGCCCAAGGCTTGCAGGTTTTTGGGGGGGGGGGAACATCCCCCTGTCCCTCCCCAAACTACGCCTGTGCCCAAAAATCTCCCTTACTTCTGCTCCTCAGTGCCAACCCACATTTAATTTAATATCAGCCGCCTTTGGGTCAGCTGTCAACTGAGTTAAGGAGATCTCCTCCTACACTCGGAGACATCCCTTGCTTTTCATCTGTCCCCTTGGCTGCTTTCACCATTGGAGAGAGGCAGTGAGGTTTATTAGTCTGGGAGTCACTGTTGTAATCCTGGCTCTAACACTCATTCCCTTTGACAAGTCCCAACTGCCCCGTCTCAGCTTTCCCCATCTATAAGATAAGGGTAAAGATTCAGATCTCCGGTTTTAGGCTAAACTTGATGAAATCGCTCTGAAACAATAGCACGAGAACAGGTTTTTTATAATGTAGACACACACAAAAATACCCAACAGGTTCAAATTTTGAAGCATTGAAAACTGCTGATGGGCCCCCAAAAGCTCCTGTGTTTTGTAAAGCAATCTGAAGGTGACTACAACCTGGGTAGAAAGTTGAAGTCTCCCCACCCCCGCCCCTCTCCTATTGTCACAGACTGTCCGGATGTGCTGTTAAGCCATAGCCTAGTCATTGTAAGTCCTACCAGCAGCACATCCAGGATGGGAGCTCTGTGCCCCAGACTGAAGGAGTAGTAGCACCATGCTATCAAAATTCATATTGCCCACAGCAATGGAGCCAGGAGCCAACAATTATGCAGGCTACAGGAATATTCATATTAGCACCAATGTTTTGTGAATTAAGAAATGTCTTAATGAACATTTAAGTAAGAAACCAACAGAGAATATTGCTGAAAGTGACAGAAGAGGCAGCCAACTAGGAGATGGAGGAAAGACCCACAGTTGACCATATTAAGCTAGTTTACAGAACTGAAATGAAGCTTTGTGGTAAAAATGAAACCACCCTCCCTCCTAACTTTCAGTGGACTTCAATCATGCACACAAATGGCTGACTGTCAGAGAACGTGCTCCTATGAAACTGGCCTCCACAGTGAACTGGATAACTTGCTGTTCATAAACTATATCAGGGGTAGGCAACCTATGGCACGTGTGCCAAAGGCAGCATGCAAGCTGATTTTCAGTGGCACTCTCACTGCCCGGGTCCTGGCCACCGGTCCGGGGGGGTGGGTGGGGTGGGCGGCTCTGCATTTTAATTTAATTTTAAATGAAGCTTCTTAAACATTTTAAAAACCATATTTACTTTACATACAACAATAGTTTAGTTACATATTATAGACTTCTAGAAAGAGACCTTCTAAAAATGTTAAAATGTATTACTGGCACGCAAAACCTTAAATTACAGTGAATAAATGAAGACTCGGCACACCACTTCTGAAAGGTTGCCGACCCCTGAACTATATGGTCAGTTTTATAGGCTAAAACCAACAAATCCTTCATGAAAACAGTTTCAATAGTACTGCAACATTTGTCCTTCTGTTATGTCTTTCTTACAGGCTAGTACAGGTGAGCAGATTTTATACCCACCTGTACTGAAATACCTATGCTCAGCAAGGGGTAAATGAGCAAAAAGAAAAATCCCAATTTATGAATTTAATTGCGTTTGATATATTTAGATACATGTACTACGTCGAAGGATTTAGCCTTGGA